GCTCCCGTAGGCTGGGATGTCCCAGCAGTCGGTCCCTCAGGCATGCTGACAAGGCCCTGCAGGAGATTTTGACTCAGCACAGGTGCGACGGCACTCAGCAGGAGGATCAGCTCACCCACCTGTCGGATCAATGGCCAGGGGACCAGAGGAGCCTTAGGAACTGCTGCAAACTGTCTATTCCTTGATCTGAAGGGTGACTGTGCGTATACTTACCGATGTTAAATGTCATAGAGCTGTACATGCACTGGAGCCCTGGTGGTGCAGTGGTTAAGCGTTTGGCTGCTAACCGAAAGGTTGGCAGTTTGAATCCACCAAAGCCACTCCTTGGAAACCCTATGGGGCAGTTCTACTCTGTCCTATAGGATTGCTATGAGTCGGAATCGCCTCGATGGCAATAAGCAAAAAACGGGTACATGCACTTAAGATCTGTGCACTTCACGTAAGTAATCCCTTACTAAGTTAGGTTGTCCACAGTCTGTGAGCAGGGAAGCTGTTGTATATTGTTCAAACCAATAAGCCCCTTGAGAAGATTTCCATGAAGGGTCATTGGGAAGGGTGGAATGGTCTTTCATATGCACCTGCTCCTCATCTCTAAAGGGCCCTGGCCTCTGGCCCAGTGTCCCCCACCTTAAGGGATTTATCTTCATCATTTCCATGAGGTCAATACAGTGAACTCAGCTAGTTGGAGTAGAAGATAACAGGCTTCTGTGTGAGTCTCTCTACTGAAGCCCTCTGTCCTGGGACTCCTGCCAAGGTCTGTTCTCTGGACCTCCAGCCCAGCCCTGTGAAGTCCTCTAAATCAGTTGCCATCAAGTTGACTCTGACTCATGGTGATCTCATTTGGTGTCAGAGTAGGACTGTGCTCCATAGGGTTATCAATGTCTGATTTTTAGGAAATAGATCACCAGACCTTTCTTCCGAGGTGCCTTTAGGTGGACTTGAACTTCCAACCTTTTGGTTAGCAGTGTTTTAACTGTTTGCACCACCCTGAGGTGGAACTAATAGCAGTGCCCCTCCAACTGACCACCTTCTCTGGGGTACCTTTGTCTTGGGTTACTGTTGCTTTCTCTCTTTATTATGCCCTGTTCTGCATATCCGTTTCCCAGAATTTGACTTTCTTTTCACCTTTAAACTGCCCTTGGTAATTTTAACCGAATTTCTGAGGAATGGCAGGAAGATTCTGGCGGATATAACAGTTAATATTTAGCTAGACAACAGTCCCAGACTCAGCCCTGGGAATGGGTATGGGAGGGGCTATGAATTTCTACCCTTTCTTTTCCTTGAATTGGGAAAAGAAGTGGGAGTGGGAGTGGGAGAAAAGAGGTGGGGCTTGGGGGTGGTGCTTGCAGAGGACTTAACTCTTAGTGCCAACTTAGATAAATATCAGATTTGGCCTACTAACAGCCCTCACTCTCTGAAGCTGTGGCCTCACAAGTGAAATTTGGCAGGGTTTAGAGATAAAGATGACACTTCTTATCAGATGCCTCCAGGACAGGGTTATGGTGTTTTGGATTTGGTCCAGTTTCAGAATTCTTATGATGCTCATTTTATTGCCCAAGTGCCCTTTTCTCTCTCTTCACATTTCATACACCACCTGTCATCCAATACTCTTGGTTGTCAGAACCTTGGCCTTAACAAACAAACAAACAAAAAATACTTGCTCACACAAACAGAAACCCTTTGTTGGTGTTCCTAATCCAGGGTGGAATGCGTTGCCATGGCAATGGCTGCCCCCACCTGCATTTCATCATTCGGGGTTCCCATGAGTTTCTTTTCCTTTCTCAAACACCAACAGCCAACACTGTTATTAAACAAACTATTATTATATCTTCATGACCTCACTTGGCAGTTTTTATTTAACTAAATTACATGTGCTTCTAACTTCAGGTACAATTATTCATGCACCCGTAAGTAAAGCTAACTTTATGAAGAGGCTGGTGTTGGTTTGCTGATAGTCTGAGTTATTGTTGGCTCCAACACAGAATGAATACAGAGGTTTGGGGCATTTATATGAGAGTAACATCAGAATTTAGTTCTATGACTACAAAAAACAAAACAAAACAAAACAAAACACCCAAACTTACTGCCGTCAAGTCGATTTCGACTCACATCAACCCTATAGGTTAGAAACCCCATAGGTTTTCCAAGGAGCGGCTGGTGGATTTAAACTGCCAGCCTTTCAGTTAGCAGCCCAGCTCTTAAGCACTGCACCACCAGGGCCCTTCTAAAAAAACCCGTTGCCGTCAAGTCGATTCCGACTCATAGCAACCCTATAAGACAGAGTAGAACTGCCCCCATAGAGTTTCCAAGGAGTGCCTGATGGATTCGATCTGCCAACCTTTTGGTTAGCAGCCATAGCTCTTAACCACTGTGCAACCAGGGTTTCCATACAGGTACATTAATTTGACTTTCAGAGATTTTAATATTTCTCTTAATTGTCTTAGTGTTGATTTATGGTTTTAACATAATCATTTTTAAAGAACTCAGTATTAATGAAAGGCATAGGAGATTCGAGTATTTAATAATTAACCTAAAGTTTGATATCATATCTAACTAGCTGGTTCCTGGACAATCATATAACATTTCTTTTTTAAAATTAGACTCGATGAGTGCTTATAACCTAATGGATTAGGTGGGATTTTTTGTTATTGTTGTTATGCTTGAGAAAGTTATGGACATTTATTTGAATTTATTGTGTTAGATAAAATTTTGGCATTCTGAAACCCAAACCAAATATTTGAGTCCCTGTTAATTCAGGGCTGTGGTTGAAGACAGTGATAGGTATCACCTTGGTGATCCTGGGACCAGGATTTTCCTCTTTGCATTCGGGGAGGCCCTCCATCAGGGCAAGACTCCCAAAGAGCTGCAGGGGTGGCAGGGGACAGCCCAGCTAACTTCTTATAAGGGGTATTCCTGTCTCTGCCCTGGCCGAGCTCCTCCCCCAGCACAGGTGCTTTGCCACCTTGGAGATTGGTACTGTGCTGCAGAAAGGAATGGGGGCATTGCCTCTTTAAAGTTGCCTTATGATCGTCTCCCTCCTGAGTCTTTCTTAGTCCATCGCCCCAGTTCTCTCAGGCCCCTGAGATGGGGTGGTAGCTGCTATCACCAGACCTGGCCACTAGGGGCGTGCGCCGTGGTTAAAGGGCTGGGATGTAGCCCCAATTCTGCCTCTTACCACCTGTGTGATTGGGCAAGTTACCTAACTTCTCAGAGACTCAGTTTTCTTCTTCCAGAAAACAGAGCTAATACTGTCTCATCAGACTGTTGATTAAATGAGCCAGTGTGTGTGGGAGGTCCTTAATACAGTGCTTGGTAGAAAGTATGTACTCAATGGATCAGTGCAGAAATAACTGATCGTTGTTTTAATTATGCTAATACATAATATAGAAGATTCTGCTTTCCGCATAGTTTTTGTCACACCATGTTATAGTTTTTTATAGGATTTTTCCAAAAACCTTTGGGAGAAGAAATTCCCTGCCCTATCCCCTAAAAAACAGTTTTTTTTTTAAAAAAAAAAAATCGTGGTAAAATATACATAACAAAATTCACCTTTTAATCAGTTTTTTAAACTTTTAACCCAAAAGTGTATAATTCAGTAGAATTTACTACTACATTCATGATGTTATACAACCATCACGCTATCTGGTTTCAAAACATTTTCATTGCCCCGAAAGGAAACCCATTAAACGTTCGTTCTCCATTCTTCCATCCTCCCCAGGCCCTGGCAACACTAATCTGCTTTCTGTTTGAATCCATTTGCCTATTCTGGATATTTCATGTAAGTGGAATCATACAATGGAATTATACAATGTAGCTTTTGTGTCTGGCTTCTTTCACTTAACACAATGGTTTCTGGGTTCATCCATTTGTAGGATATATCAGTAGTACTTGATTCCTTTTATGCCTAAGTAATGTCATTTTATATGGATTTACCACATTGTTTTTATCCATTAATTAGTTGATGGGTATTTGGGCTGTTTCCACCTCTTGCCTGTTATGAATAATGATGCTATGAGCATTCCTGTACATGTTTTTGTGTGGACATATTTTCAGTCCTCTTGGGTATATACCTAGGAGTAGAATTGCTGGGTCACATGGTTAATCTATGTTTAACTGTTTGAGGAGCTGCCAAGCTGTTCTCCACAGCAGCTGCGTCATTTTCCATTCTCATCAGCAATGCATTTATTAAGTTCCTACTGTGTTGCTTTGGAGTCGTTAAGAACTCGGCTGCTAACCAAAAGGTCTGCAGTTCGAATCCATCAGCCGCTCCTTGGAAACCTTATAGGGCAGTTCTACTCTGTCCTATAGGGTAGCTGTGAGTCGGGATTGACTCGATGGCAGCTGGTTTGGTTTGGTTTTTGGTGTTGCTTTAAGGAGCCCTGGTGGCGCAGTGGTTAAGCAGTTGACTGCTAAATGAAAGGTCGGCTGTTTGAACCTACCAGCCGCTCCGAGGGAGAAAGATGGGGCAATCTGCTTCTGTAAAAATTACAGCCTTGGAAACCCTATGGGACAGTTCTTGGTCTTCTAGGGTCGCTATGAGTCAGAATTGACTCAGTGGCCATGGTTTGGTTTTTTTGGTATCAGCAGTGCAAGCGGGTTCCAATTTCTTCACATCCTTGCCAATTGTTGTTCTTTCCAGTTGTGTTTTAATAACAGCGTATCAGTGGGTGTGAAGGGGTATTTCATGTGGTTCGGGGTGGTTTTTTTAGTATTGATTTTGTATGTGTCCGGACTCAAATTTTCTTATTAATGTTCTGAAGCCTGTCATGTTGCAAAGCTACATGGAAAACCACCTATACATGATTGCCAGTAGGAGAGAGGTGTGAAGCATTGTTTTTTTCCTTGCACAGCCCCGATGTAGCTAAGTATCATGGCATTGTAACCTTTAGGGAAGCATCATGGCACTAGAGTCTGTAGAGTGGATTAGCCATCTGTAGACAGTAATTAGAGATGATGTCCGATGCCTCTGACCGCTCTCTCCTCTTTTCTTTTGGTTTTAGGGGTCTTCTCTGGGTCACCCAGAATGCTTTTACATTGTACTGGGTGAGAGCTGAGCCACTTGCCTGTGTGGGACTTCCATACTCTGGGCTCCGCTCTCTTCTGATGGCATTTTGACTGCATCAAGGCCAAGTGACCAGCTGCTCACAATGAGTGATGAGAAGAACCTTGGAGTGTCCCAAAAATTGGTCTCACCTTCAAGGAGCACAAGTAGCTGCTCCTCCAAGCAGGGAAGTCGACAGGTAATGTTTAACTCACTTAAATTTTAAAATGCAAATTTAAATCACCAAGAAGTTTGCAGATTAAAATGTGCAAATTTACTGGGGAAATCCTACTTCTCAGTTTAAGAGCATTTGCTCTCAGTCATATCTTAATTATACAAGGAGAGTAAATTCTAGATAATTTTAATTTTGTAGCTTTAATGCCTACTAGGTGGGAAGAACTGTATTTGGCTCTTTGTATTATTTTATGCAGTTCTCGCAAACACTTTTCAACACAGCTATTAATATCCCTGTTTTTCTCACAAGGAAGCTGACTCAGAGACTGAGTTACTCGGCCAAGGACACACAGCTAGTAAGTGGCAGTATAAGAAATCAAAGCTCAGTCTGTTTGCCTCCAGAGTCCAGTTTCCTGCTAGCCAAAACAAACAAACAAAAAAATCACTTTTCCAGTAATTATAATATCCCCTGTCCTGTTCCTGCCCCTCATCAAACCTTTTATGACAGCTTCTAATCACAGATTGCTCTATTAGTAACTTTGAGTTTCACTTGCTTCATTTTCCTAGTGGGCGAGAGAACCTAATCAACAGAGCAATGGCCAAAAGGAATAAAATAGGAGGAAGAAAGAAGGGAATCAAAGGACTTGAATAATTAATTCCTAAATAACTTAATTATGTGTTGTTGCTTGGTTTCCTTTCTCATAAATCTGTTGGCAGAATTAGCTAGTTGTAGATCAGTGGCAGTAAATGCGCATTAATCATTATAATTCTTTCTCCTGCAGTTAGGGAGAGAAAGAGTAGGCTGTCAAAAAGCTGTGGGTTTACAACCCAAGTGGTTTCTGAGCCTTTTCAGTACCTGCTGGCTGTGCTGGCATTGCCTGTCCCTCCGCGGAAGCGCTGGCCTAAGAATTCTCCCGGAGTCCTTGATTCCAGGTTTTGAAGCAACAATCAAGCAACCTCTCACTTCAGGCACGTCCATACATTTGTGACACATCATCACAGAGCTCTCTGTATGAACTTTGCCTGGGACGGGGAGCTGCCCACCTCACAACACCACATCACGTCATTAGCATGTGTGATTCTGGACTAATTAGATTTTGCCACAGGCCTGACATTTGAGGACCCCTCCAGGATCTCCCATGAGGGGTTAGGAAGGAGAACTTTTTCAGAACTGTCATCACTTCCTTCTGGTACTTAAAAAAAAAGACTAAAGTTAGCATCCATGCACATATCTTCCTGGGAATTCTATTTCCATGAGGGTAGTGACGCTTACCCTCTTTGTCAGCTTTCCCATACTGATTTTAATGTGGTATCTTCATGGGAATATTTCTCTCCGTAAGCCTGGCACCCAGGAGGAATTCTGGTTAGGATTAGAGCAGAATGTGTGATCTTCCCCCCCTCCCCTGCCCCCCTTTGTACTTGGTCGCAACTAATGCTGTGTTCTCTTTTGATAAACGGAGAGAACAGGAGTAGCAAGTGCTCATAACACCATAGGAAGTGGAGCTGTGCAGTGAATTTTTCAGATTAAATACCATAGAAACTTTATTTGCTATATGATTTGAAATTGGTTTGGTTTTCACAGAGTTTTTTTGTTGGTTTTTTTGAGGGAATGGCCAGTTGCATCATAAAAGTCAAGAGGAATGTTCTTGATGCCTAAATGTTTTCCTGACCTTGGATGGGAGGTCATTCAGTCATTTATTCTTTCATTGATGGTCATCTTTTATACTTAGGATCTCCCACTTTAATATGCATATTATGTTGTTTAATAAATGTAAATACTTATTTGTCCTTGTGATGGAGAAGATGGAAAATTTAATCAGTTACTTTCAGTTTTAGCCTGAATCTGATAATAAAGCCCATGTTTAATTTTCAGGGACTATTTTTTTATTCCATCGTGTTGTCCACTTTGACAATCCGAGTCTACTATGCCATCCCAGTTGGGCCCAAGATTGTCTTTCAGTTTCTAAAGGTGCTGCATAGGTACTGGAAACTTGTATTTAGTAGTTTCTTGGTTGCTAAATATAGTCATCACACTGGGTTTCCAGTTACCTCAGTGGAAAGTGCAAGTTAGACATTTAAAACTTCAGTATCTATGTAATGAGGCATTTGATTTGCAGAATACTAAACTATAACTGAGGAAAACATCTGTGCAATAGCCAACTTGGTTTTTTTTTTTTAATTAAATGCTATCTTTTATTCTTTTTTTAATTGTGGTTTAGGTGAAAGTTCACAGAGGAAATTAGTTTCTCATTAAACAATTAATACACAAATTGTCTTGTGACATTGGTTGCCAACCCTGCAATGTATCAACACTCTCCCCTTCTTCTCCCCCAGTTCCCTATTTCCATTCGTCCAGTTTTCCTGTCTGTTCCTGCCTTCTTGTCTTTGCTTTGGGGCTAGTGTGCCCATTAGTCTCGTTTACATGATTGAACTATGAAGCATGTCCCTCATATGTGTTATTGTTGGCCCTGTAGACCTCTCTAATCTTTGGCTGAAGGGTGAACCTCAGGAGTGACTTCAGTACTGAGTTAAAAGGGTATCCAGGGGCCATACTCTCAGGGTTTCTCCAGTCTCTGTCAGACCAGCAAGCCTGGTCTTCGTTTTTTGTTTGTTTGTTTGTTTTTGTGAACTTTGTTCTACATTTTTCTCCCCCTCTGTCTCGGACCCTCTATCGTGATCCCTGTCAGAGCAGTCAGTAGTGGTAACTGGGCACCATCTAGTAGTGCTGAACTCAGTCTGGTGGAGGCTGTGGTAGTTGTGGTCCATTAGTCGTTTGGACTGATCTTTCCCTGTGTCCTTGGTCTTCTTCATTCTCCTTTGCTCCAGCTAGCATGGGACCAGTAGATGTATCTTAGATGGCCGCTCACAGGCTTTTATTTTTAAATTGTATTTTAGGTGAAAGTTTACAGCTCAAGTGAGTGTCTCATATAAAAATTTATACATGCATTGTTATGTGACCCTAGTTTCTATCCATATAACGTGACAGCACACTCCCCCTTACCATCCTGGATTTCCCGTGTCCATTCAACCAGCTCCTATCCCTTTCTGCCTTCTCATCTCACCTCCAGACAGGAGCTGCCCATTTAGTCTCATGTATCTATTTGAACTAAGAAGCCGCCTCTTCATGAGTATCATTTTATGTCTTATAGTCCAGTCTAATTTTTGTCTGAAGAGTTGGCTTCAGGAATGGTTTTAATTCTGGGTTAACAGAGAATCTAGGGGCCATGTCTTCTGGGGTTCCTCTAGTCTCAGTCAGACCATTAAGTCTGGTCTTCTTACCAGAATTTGAGTTCTGCACCCCATTTTTCTCCTGCTCCATCAGGGAGTCTCTGTTGTGTTCCCTCTCAGGACAGTCATTGGTGGTAGCTGGGTACCATCTAGTCCTTCTGGTCTCAGGTTGGTGGAGTCTCTGGTTTATGTGGCCCTTATTATCTCTTGGGCTAATATTTTCCTTGTGTCTTTGGTGTTCTCCATTCTCCTTTGCTCCAGGTGGGTTGGGACCCATCTTGTTTTTAAAGCACCCATTTAGTTATTTTCAATTACAACAAACAATATTCTTCATGGTGGATTCTTTACTTCCTTTATCTCTTTGCATGTCATAAACATACAGGTTTTTATACACACGTATTTTTAAAGTCTTTTTCCTCTATTCTTCTCATTTCATCTAATGTTGATTTTATTGGTCATCTTTCTTAGCACTAGCCTTCCCTCACGTACTTTGGAATCACAGTTTACAGCCTCATCCTGAGCTGGCTTCCTCTACACTCATCCTATACACTCATCCTGCCTTATCTAGGAACTTGCTGTTGCCTACTTCTTCCCTCCAAGGACCCAGTCCAGAGCCAAGTCTTATATTCGCAGTTGAGACTTCTGTTCCATGATGATGATAGAATGTTAAAGACCCATCACTGGGCCAGCAGACAGGTCCTGGTTGTGAGATTGTGTCTGCTTCCTCCCACCCCGGGTAAGCAGCTTTTTAAAGCCCCTTCGTAGCACAGTGGTTAAGAGCTCGTCTGCTAACTAAAAGGTTGGCAGTTCGAATCCACCAGCCACTCCTTGGAAGCCCTGTGGGGCAGTTCTATTCTATCCTGAAGGGTCGCTATGAGTCAGAATCGACTCAGCGGCAGTGGGTTTGGTTTTGGTTTTTTATTGTGATGTGGAGATTTTCCCCTCCACATTCTCTGATTTTCAGCAGTGACACTGATTCTGGTCTTTCGCCTTTTCCTTGGGACATTTTTAGCCCCATTAGCTCACAGAAGTAGGACTCCTGGACACCTGTGTCTATAGTGTGTTCTGTGTTTCTATTCCATTTCTAATCCATGAGATATTTAATCTTGTTTTCTGTCACAAAAATACCGTACATCTTTATAACTTTTTGTATTGTTGCTATGCTTGTCTCTGCTAGCTTCTGTCTATTATATTTGAAAAGAGACTGACTTAAAACACAACCTAATCTTGTAGATTGAGTCCTGCCTCATTAACATAACTGCCTCTAATCCTGACTCATTAACATCATAGAGATAGAATTTACAACACATAGGAAAATCACATCAAATCACAAAATGGTAGACAACCATACAATACTGGGAATTGTGGTCTAGGCAAGTTGACACACATTTTTGGGAACACAGTTCAGTCCATAATACACCCATTTATTAGTTCTGTGACCTTGAGCTAAGGATGACAAACATGGCACCTGTGCTGCCACTCTCCCTGCCTATGCCGAGGACACATGGTTAAAAACTGTAAGCCTCAGTTTCCTTATTAGTAAGTAACAATGAAATAGTAATAGTTCTTATAGGGTTGATAAGAGGATTGAAAGTAAAACACTTATCAGATTCATAGTAGGTGCTGAGTAAATATTAGCGCTCATTTTTATTATTGTAGCTAGATTAATCTGAACTTCATGTTTGTGGAAGGTGTAAATGTTCATAGAGCGTAGTTCTACTTTTTCTCCCCCTAGAAATTTTACGGGCACCATACAAGTACCTACACATACCAGTCTGTATTTAGTGTTGTACAAAA